AGTGATTACAACATTGAGTACGGCGGGTGCGAGAAAGGTCTGCTTCTTGAGGTCTTGGGGAGAGGTATCGATGTGGACGAGGTACACTTCGTTCGGGGAGAGCAGTTCGAGGAAGGGCTGGAGAGACGCGGGAGCTTTGGTAAACGGAGGAAGGGGTCCCGATTGTGAACTTGGAGTTGAAGCGCCTGATGATGATATGGAGGGGGTGACTGAGGCCTTCGCCTTTCCGGCTCGTCTTGCGGATTTGGCCATATCGTATGATGGAGTGGTGGTTCTGAGTAATAGTTCCTAGAGCCTGAAAGGCATCTGCTCCGAATTTAAATCCAGCTGGTCTTGGTATATTCGAAGATCAATGAGCTATGCAGCGGCGGGGGACGATCAATACATCTGATCGGGTCACATGTCGGGTCAGTAAAGGTGTTGTTCATCACATCCACCTGCAGATGACGACGGGTAAAGAGACATGATCCGTACCGTAGAGTTTAGTGCAATTGATCGGCAAGCTTTAGAGGGTAACCATGAGAAGGACAGCCGAAGAGAAGAAGAAGAGAAGGATGAAGTTGGCTTCATTCATGCTTCCCATGAATTCCTCCGCGCCGCTAACCCGATTGGGAGTTGCATCGATACCCGCGCGTTGCTTCTTGCAATTCACTGCTGGACAAACACTCCGTGGCACATTCCTCTACCTTGGTCATGAAATAGTGAATGGACGGATTAATGAAATTTCCCGAGGGTCCTCCCACTGATCACCATGGCTACCCCCGACCGCAGGCCCGCGCGAACTGGGCTGTCGCGTCGCAACTACGAGCAACAGCAACGCTCTCCTTTCCATCGAGCATATCTTGAATCCCACGCCACCGACCGGTTTGACGCGTCGCAAATACCTAACCCTACGGGTGAGCTTCGCACTCGGCGTCGGAGGAACCTCAGTCAATCAGGCACCCTGCGAGGTGCGTTCGAAGCCGTATCGCGGTATCCAACAATGTCGGAAAACGTCACGGGGGAACCTTATGGATTGGGGACCCCGAATCGGAGGAGACAGAGCTTTGCCCACGCATCCCCCGACTCAAACCCCCCGAACGAGCTGGTGGAAACATACAGGCAGATTGACGACGCCGGAAGCTTGGTCGATCAGGATGAAGAGGACTTTCGTTTCTCCTTAAACCGGTTCCGCGACAATCGAAGTGCACGCTCATCTTCTGGATCGAGGACTAGAGGATATAGTCTGTTTAGCACTGCAGACGCTGACTTCTTGAACGAGGTCAGCGACGAGTCCCTCCGCCGAAAACTGGCCGACCATATCAAAGACGAACAACGTTTGAAACGAGCTACCGCGAACCAGTCGCCTATGTTGAGCAAAGCCGGAACGCCGGCGGCTTTGACCTCAGAGAATCTACAGAGGCGTGATAAGGAAGAACAGGATGTGTTTCAAGAGGAAGAAGAAGAAGATCATCTCAGGCCATCGTTGAACGTCCCCTCCAACTGGGGAAGCCGGGGCACACATCGTCGGGATTGGCTTAGGAATATCACCCGGCGTACCGAATCCGAGTCTGGACGGACGGAGGAAGGGCGCAAAGAAATTTCTCCGCGTAAACTCAAGACCGACGTGCGCTCACATGTCGGATTTCCAGATCGAGCCAGTGAGGGGAACCGAAATGCACTGGGGGAGCCTCCATCCAATAGGTATAACAGGATCCCTCCCGCAGATGCGCACACCAAGCTCTTCGCAGGGCAGAAAGACGAGAACTTAGGCGAGGGAAGTCAAATTCCAAATACCCCAATTATGGTATATAAGAACTCTACATTTAGCAAACGAAGTCCAACTAAGAGGGACTCGCATGACCTTCTTCGCAAGCTTTCCAGGACGGAGAGCCCACCCCAAAACCAGGCCGAATTCAAAACGCCAGAAAACTCAAAACTCCCCGAGAGGCGAATCTACGACAAAACGCCGGTTGTGACTGGCGCCTGGATAGATACGCCAATGACTGAACGAATGAAAGAGCTCCCAAAGCCTCGTCTGAACAACCTAAGACCACCAGTATCCGGAAATAATGGACCTGAAGTATCATCTGGACTTGGAGTACCAACCATTTTTGAAGAGCTCAACAGTTCTGGGTCGCAACAGAATAGTGAAAAGGAAAGAGAACAGAAGAGGGGGGAGGACAATCAAAAGGCTAGGGAGAATGAAAGGAAAATGGAAATGGAGAAAAGGGAAAAGGAAAGGGAAAGTGTGGCAAACGTGAAGCCAATGGACACGAGTCAGAAAGAAGCCAAGGAAAAGGGCAAGAAGGCAGAGAACCAAGCGGAAAAACCGAAAGACAAAAAGAGGCCACCGTTGATCAAACCTGATCTCCCGAAGAGTGCGTTGGAAACGGTCATGCAAGATTTCAAGGCTGACAAGGACTCTTTGGACGTTGGCGACGACACGCTCGAATCTCTCCAACAAATCCTTGACGAAAAGCCAAATGATCTGAAAACTGAAGCAGAAGACGATGCAGAATATGAGAAGTCTATCCTGCAGAAACTTGAACTCGAAAGCTCGGGAAGCAGTGATGGCGTCGATCTCGACAGGCTGAATAAAAAGCTGGAATCCCTGACCGAGAATATCAACAAGGTGAAGAAAGGGCTCAACGGCTTGGAAGATCAAGTCTTACGGGATGCCGCTGCTCTCGCAGCAATACCAGCTTCTCCGAAAGGACAGCTACCATCGAGTCATACATGTGGCAACTGTGAAACCTGCAAAGCTCACCATAATGGATTGACCTCTGCTTTTTATCTCCCACGCTTATGGAGACATGAACCTGGCTCACGCCGGATTCGACCCACGTTCCTTGGATGGTGCAGCGGGCTGTTGCTTCTGTGGTACTTCTCTGAGTCGACGATGTGTGATTATTACTGTCATCCCTTTGTTGCGGAGGCATGCGAAGGAAATTGTCTGCTTCCTGATGCGCCACGCTTTCCATTCGTCATCCCAACAATGCTATGGCGCTGGTTGCACCTATCAGCCATCTGGACTCCGCTCTGGGCCGTGATGGTGGCTTTCTTTAGACTCACAACACAGCTTCTGGGGATCTCAGATGGTTATGTGGATGATATACCTCCTCGAGCGCTCAACCTTTCAGGCGAGATCCGGATACGTGGGACTCGTGTAGAAGGCTTTCCTGCATTTGCGACCTCTAAATATGGTTTTAATGCACCTAAGAAGCAACAGCAGACACCGACTCAGAAACCCACTCCGATTGCTGTCCCCGAATTGGATCTCGGGCCGGATGAACATCAGGGTAAGGCCAACTTTGAAGACGACTCCATGGATGATGATGAATTTATCTAGCGACGAAATACTGGTGTTTGTTTTTTTGGGACAGTGAAATATTTGAATAGCCTTTTGTTCTTCTTGTAACTTAATGTCGAGGACGTCTGCCTTGGAGCAGATATAGCTGGAATTGAACCAGGGATCCAGATTGTATATCATAAACTACTGCCCAACACCACGTACATATCCAAGACCACCAGTAGCCATGCTTGATTACTTCAGATGCCATTCAAGGTGGGCTCTAGGGCTATGGACGAAGTACCACAGTTCTTTTTAAAAGATAGGCTGTGTCAATCCACGAACGTCCGTAGGATTGTTTTCGATTCTTGCATTCTAAGGTACAATCAATACACTGAAAATAGGAATCAGCAAAGCTTTGCTTCATCCTTCGTACATGCATTATCCACATAATTAAAGGTAAGCTCCCCATCATCCACATTGTTATTCCCCTGGGGATAGAAATACGGCACACTTCCGCAAACCTTGCATCTGTACTATGAGATCAGTAGCCCTCCTCGAACTTGCCTTTACAAGAGGGGAGAAAGAGGAGCAACATACCCATGTTCCGGGATATAATGAGCCAAACTCTTGATCACAGCACCATTCGTACCACCGGTGTTCTGTAGGAACGCACAGAATCCACCATTGCCGGTGATGCGAGCACCGGATCCGACACAGGCGATGTGCTCTCCGTTGTTGTACCAGCGGTTGGGGTCAATGCCGTCGATGGCGCGTTTGAGCTGGAAGGCCATCTGGGTGTTGCCGAAGGTGTTGCAGTTCGCTGAACCGCGGCAGTTGATTCCGAGCTTGGCTTCGGAGGAGGTCACCAGGGTGATGGCAAGAAGGAGCCCTTGGATGATGGATGGGGTGTGCATGGTGGGTCAATGGATTTCTTTATAGAATTAATAGGTAACAAGTAGGAAATAAGGGTAGAATAATGATTATTAGAGGGTGTTAACTAAAATGATTCAATATGCTTGTCGAGCTTAGGGTTCAAATTATTTGTGACACCGAGTCACCTTTTATATATTTGAGAGCTTTCACACATATCTCACTCCGAAAACAGGAGCAATAACTACAATTTCTCTACTATACATACAATCCTCCTTCCAGAGTGCAAAAACATCTCTGAGATTACCCATTTAGGAATTTGGTCAGTGAATTCAGCTGCCAAGAGAATGTCTCTCAAACTAAGAATCTCGTAATGATTATGATTTCCCTGCAGGTGCTTGTCCCTTCCCTAAAAGGGCGACTCCCTCTTTACCTTTTTGGTCCTTAGTTCGTCGCCTGTCATTCAATAACGCGGACCAGATTCTAGTTTGGGTTAGTGGATCAGGCTGCCAGGGGGCTGAAGATGCTTATTTGAGCTTATTGCGGTAAGCCCTATGTGGTCCGCTTTGCAGCCTAAGGTGACTATCGACGCCCAGATGTTCGTATTTCCTACCTCCTTTACCCAAGATAGGTGACATCGCGTTGATGCATTGCTTTAGCCCCCTTGCTGAATATGGATTTCTATAGACCATTTTCCTAATACAGTTCATCTCGTGGTATCCAAGACTGTGTAGGAGTCATCTCGTAAATCTTCCATTCATTCATGAAAGCATAGTATGAGCCTAGATATGGATTTCTATAAATTCAGCTATAGTACCAGGTAGTTCAAGTCTCCCAGAAAACGCACAACCTCCGATACTAATCCCCCAAACCTCTTCCCACTCCTTCCTCTTCCCCCCAAAAATAAAAAACCAACCATCTTTCAGCATGTTGGCCACAGTATTCTTAATAGTCGCAAGTGCTCTCACTGCGAACGCTAAGCTTGGGATTAACTGCCGTGGTTCCGCAAAATGCAGCGCATTATGGGGACCTTCTGATGCTGCCCAGCAACTCACCAATGTGATTCAACATATCGATACCAACAGATGGTACGTACGGCCTATTTTTCATCTAAATGTCAACCGTTCGACTCACTTATGGCCAACAGGTACATGAACGGAGAGCACATCGCCTGTGTTGGCAACCAGGCCGGTAATGGTGGTGGTTATTGTGCGTTCCTGCAGAAGACTGGGGGAACCAATGGCGGTGTGATTAAGAACTTGGCTCACTATATTACGGATCACGGGTATGTTATTCAGAAGAATGTTTGGAGTGGACTGTGAGGACAAGTAACTAACATCGCTTGGATGTGTAGATGCAAGCAGTGTGGTAGTGTGCCATACTTTTACCCTCAGGGCAACAACAATGTTGATGACGGCGAACTCACATATAACTATGTGGATGGTAAGCTGCTTCGCTTTTGCTATCACATGATCCTTTTACTGAATAAATCAACAGATCCTTGCGCTACAGCAGGTACTCAGCTATGCTAAGTCAGTCATGTCTTGGTAAGACCTCGGCAATGGGGGTTTCTTGGGGGGTTTTCTGAACTAGGTAATTCGTTATGAAATCAACCTCTACACTGGATACGAGGCAATACTGCCTAGCTTCGCTCCCTGGCCTGTTCCTGATCCTTTTGTCGTTCACCCCTTTTTTCTGTCGGCTTTTCCTTATAGAGCCCAGTCAGCCCTGGAGCTTTCGAAATGGCACCCTGTGGCTCCTGGTACCCGTTTCCTAGTCTTACTGTCGAGTCCACGGTTGTTCTCAGGCCAGTCCCGAGGGCTAAAATTTCAAGCTCATAGCTGTGCCTTTGTTGTTGCGCTGATGGACGACTTGCTATATTTCATGGATTCGGTAAACGAGCTGGGCCACCTGGCCGCCAGATGGAAAGTGAAATCAGTCACAACATCATCAGTTTATCTTTCTATTAGAAAACTAAAGTGGTTCTATTAATTTAGCCAGTTTGCTATATATTCAATAACACGGTATATAACACCTAGAGTATCTAGGTGGCAATCATATCTCTAGATAGGGCGACGGAGAGGAACATGTAGATCTACAACTTCGCCTTCTCATAGTATTGTTCCTGCAGTTCTTTTTCGCCTTCAATCCGCCATTCAGCACTCTTGCGCAAACGTTCATCAACCTCCTCGTCAGTCAAGGCAACAGCCGTATCCAACGGGATCTCGCGAGTCGACCGTAACTTATACCCAATGTATGTTACACTGCCAGATGGCTTGACCCGACCCGCAATCGCATCGCTGCAGAACTTAGACATTCCATCGAAAAAGCGCTTCCCGGCTGGTGTCTTGACCATGAGAAGACCGAAACAATGTGGCATGCCTTCGAACTGTTCCACCACAACAGGAACCCCAACTTGGTACATTTTGCGAGCTAGAAGGAGGCCTTCGTCCGAGAGTCCTTCTTCGCCCATGTTCATGTAGATCGGTGGTGAGCCTTTCCAGAGTTCTTTACGCGCCGCTAGAGGCGATACTAGAGGGTGGATCGCTGCGTTGGCATTCGAGAAAAGGTCAACTCGCGGCGGTTTACAAGGCCAGATGGTATCTGCAGGAATATTAGGCGGTTGGTAGAGCGTCTCAGGAACTTGTGTCGGCGGTGCAAGATAATCGTATAGTGCATTGTTGACGACAGAAGGCATAGACCGTGTGACATCACACCATGGTGAGCTCATGGCTACTCCGGCGGGCAATTCAATCGGGATTTCCTGGCCGTGGAAGCGGATTGTCGGGGAGATGCGGCGCAGCGTCAATAGAGTCTGCAGAAGCACCAAGCATAAATTTCCACCCGCGGAGTCGCCCGAAAAGATGATTTTCTTTGCGGGCACGGGCGCGTGAAGTGAGCCTGGGGGTGGAGCAACGAGAGATAGATACGCGACCAAAGCATCCACGAGAGCAGAGGGGAAAGGGTGCTGGGGTGCGAGACGGTATCGCACCGACAAAACGGGAGCACCGGTCCTCTTGGAAAGATGAGCGACTGGAATACGATGGGTGCAAGGATCCATCAGACTGTTGTCGTCAGTTTATCAGCAAGCAAGTGGCCGTTGGACAGGAGACTATAGGATCACTCACAAGTAAGCCCCTCCGTGAAAATACAGGATGACCGTATCCGATTGCGCTGCTTTCCGCAACTCCTTATACTTGTCTTCTTCCGAGATATCAGGCTGCGGTGCATTCTTATCCACACCACTACGGTAACCAGTCCACTCTGCCTCGACAGGAACTACACCCGGGATATCGTAGGTCTCGCCGCCCAGTTTCAGATCCTCGAACGCTTTGAACACGGCCTCTTGCACCTCATTTTCTGGCGGAGGTAGGGTCACTTTCGAAATCCACATGGGACCCTTGATGCCCGGGTCACGCATGCTGCCCTTTTGCTGTTTGCCAACTGGTGTCGTCGTGAAGGCAATGAAAGAGCGGATAATAGCGACAGTTAATTCTGTTCGCAGGTCTTGCTTTCCCGATACGGGGGACAAGCGAATTGTATGAAGAAACAAGGTCTTGAGGATGAGAGGGATCCTCACCACCATTGCCTTCAAAAGACCGATGGGACTATCGAGGGTACTCATGGCGACGACCAATTTGTCTGTAACACTCCCCGTATATAAAAGGAAGTGAACGAACTATCAGCCTGGAAATATAAAGAATGGCTACGGATTAGTAACAAAACAAATACAACCTAGGAAGCCAGAACGATGAAGAAAGAAAAAGGAGTGAGGAAGTAAGGAGTCCGGGAAGAGGAGATTGAAAAGATCGCCGCTTTTCTTAACTCCAAAGAAATGGTCAAATGGTGTCTAATCTTCAGAGCGAGCCTCGGTATAGCGACTGGGGCATCGATGGGTCCAACCGAAAGGTAAATTCTAATCTGATTGATTAATCCACTTTTTATGCAACCTTTTATGCATAGTTAAATCTTCTTATACAGCGATTACATCATAGCCTCTGGCAGTCCATGAGAACTTAAGGGTATAATAATGTGTTGATTTCTTTTGTTAATAGTAGTATTTACCCTGAACCTAGTATATAAGTTACATCAAACAATAGCACAGCGCTTTAGGGAGTTCGATCTGGCCCTTTAGCTTCCGTGGTCGTATTACCCGGTATCTTCTCTGAATCCGGTTCTTCAGAGGAGTCCGACTCGCGAGGATAGAGAATCTTCTGGTAGACCTGTTGCTCTTGCCCCTTTAATCCAACACCTGATGGGTCTCGCCGGATAAGAAAATGTTGGACTTTAGCTTCCGATGATGGCATCTGCTTCACGGTATTTTCCCGTCGTCCCGCCAGGAGTCGCATAGTTTCCTCATTAAGTTGCTGGAGTCGATCTTCATATCCAATACTTAATTTGTTGATCCAGGACGCCTGAAGCGCACCTCCCAGCAAGGTCAGAAGTATAACCAATCGCGCAAAGGTGCGATGGTCAACCATCGTTTGCTGCTTTCCATTATAACGGTTCTGCCATCGCTCCCAGTCTTCCCAGGTTGCATTAGCATAGATGGGACTCCAGTCACGCGAGCCTGGCCTTGCCCAGGGTGGGTGTGAACCTTGCGGGTGGAGATTCCATCCGGCACCAGACAGATCGTAAGCCGCCCGCCTAGATGGATCGGATAAGATCTCATGAGCTGTTACTACAATATGGTATCTGTGGACTCTCGTTTCAGGAGAGAGGTCCCTGCAGAGTGGATGATCATTGCACGGTCGATCTGGGTGGTAGATCTTGACTAATTCATAGAACCTGTGCTTCGAATACGGAGCGTTTCGGTCTTGTTTGAACACATCGTAGGGAGTAAAAGAGGAAGATGATGGCCAGGAGAGGTCATCTTCGCGGAAAGCATGAGCAGTGGCAAAACCCCGGTGGGGAGACAACAGCCATGGACGCGGATAAGGTGATGATGAAGGGCATGACGGATTTAGCAACTGCAAACCGCCGAAGCAGAAGACATGAGGTTTCTTGAACATGGCCGCATGATTTCAAAAGAGGAGACGTGGATTATTCCCCCTAGAGAAAAATAAAACCCATGGAGCGGAGACAAGATATGATCTGATACGGAAGTGAGAGAGAGGGAACTCCATTTGATTTGGTTTTCCGGATCCACCGGCGATATTGATCAGTCATCACGTGCCCTCGTGCATCGTGAAAGCTTCCTTTAAAACAGAAACTATTCATATACTCTCACCCGGTTAAGTGAACCAATTCCACTCAGAACTTCTGATCATGCCGGAATCACGAGAAGAATACCGCGATCGCTCGCGGCACCGATCGCCAGCAAGTTCCCCGCATACGAAAAGTGAGCGACGACGAAAATATGATGACGAATACGAGAGCAGTTCGCAACGTCGTGATGATCGTCGAAGCTCTCGACGAGACGACTCTCGACGCCGGTCATCCCGCAGTCCTTCAGGCCGGAGTAGCCGCAAAAGAGACGATGATCATCGCCGCCGGGAGCGGAGGGAACGAGCGGATAATTCGGACGACGATCGGAGAAGACGTCGACATCGTTCCCCGGAAGAACGTCGCCATCGACGCCATCGCGACCGGGATACACACGGCGATAAAGAGAAGTCATCAAGAAGCTACCGGACGAAATCCCGATCTCGCTCACCCACACGGCGCTCGCGCAGTCCATCCTCACGCGACCCCGTGCGCTCTAGGGGCGCCTTGCCTTCTCAGCAAGACGCATACACATCAGAAATAGCTCAGAAGGACTCGTCCGCCCCTCCACCGGAAAAAGAGAAGCCCAATTTCGCCAACACCGGGCGCTTGGCTGCTGAGAGCAATACGGTGAACGTCAGTGGAGGGGGAACAGTAGTTCTCAAATATCATGAACCTGCTGAAGCTCGTAAACCCCCAGCTAAGGACCCCTGGCGTCTCTACGTGTTTAAGGGTGACGATCTTCTTGAGGTAGTAGAACTGAATGAGCGCAGCTGCTGGCTTATAGGCAGGGAGAACCTGGTTGTGGATTTCCCTTTGGAGCACCCAAGTTGCTCTAAGCAACATGCCGCCCTTCAATTCCGCTATGTCGAGAAGCGAAACGAGTTTGGCGACCGGATTGGGCGTGTCAGGCCTTACCTCATTGACCTTGAAAGTGCCAATGGATCCGCAGTGAATGGGGATAAGATTCCAGGTGGACGATATGTTGAAGTGAGAGACAAGGACGTGCTCAAATTTGGATTGAGTACCCGAGAATACGTTCTTATGCTAGCTCGGACGGAATGAGCCTGAAGTGCTTGAAAGTCCTTGCCATCCATACGCGGTCTCTACAGCAGTGGAGCCTGGATCACTATACTAATATTGTACATTATAGGAAAGTATGATGCGAAAATGGTAAATACATGCGTGCAACAATCATTCTAGTCATTCCGGGTTCTCTGTCACTTCTTTTTTGAGACCTTTAGAGTTTGCCGACCGTCTCCTTCGCCTTACCCTTGGCTTCGCCTAGGGTTTCTTGGGCCTTGCCCTTTGCTGAGCCAAGGGTCTCCTCGGTTTTGCCCTTTGCAGATCCCAATGTTTCTTCAGCCTTGCTCTTACCCTGGCCTGCGAGCTCCGCTGCATCACCTTTTAATTCTCCGGTGTTCTTGTTGGCGGTGCCTTTGATTGCTTCTGCTACTTGCTCTATACGGGGACCCAAAGTCAGAACCCTGCTGCACAAGGCCAGATGGAGAAACTATGATTGGTACATACCGCCCTTCTCGATTCCCTTCACTGCTGCACCGGAGAGAACGTCGTCCGTTTTCTTCAGGGTATCCTTGGCTGCCTCCACTGGACCCTTTTGCTTTGCTGCCGTGGCAGAGATAGAGCGAGCGCCTCCTACTAGCAGGGAAGGAGTAGCCGTGGAACGGACAATGGAGTTCAATGAGCCCGTACGGGGAGCGATACGTGCGATGAAAGACATGGCGATTCAATGGGTTGATATAGGAGGTCAAATGTAAGATAAAACAGCGTGGGATATGGCAAGACTTGGTATCTAGAGAATATGTTCACTGGATTATAAAATTATGGCCAAAAGTCACTGTTGCCTCTTTATATATACTCGATACTGTTCTCATTTCAGCATTATTGAGCGTCATCGGCGACGTCATAAGTCACTGACGTCGTTAAACGGTCAGTGACTTTCCCAATACGGCTTAGTGGTCCTCGAATGATTGGCGGCCAAACAAGTAATGTTGGAACTTCACATTCATTCTGGAAGATGGAACATGTAATATACCTGTCGTGACTGCGTAGGTTTCTCGGGGGTTCTGTACATAGTAGATATTACCAGTCGTTAGTGGACTAGTACCTAGGTACTACTTACTGTGTAAAGCCGGAGAAGCTCGTGATGTTCTCGGAAAAGCAAGTTGTTGGCCTAAGGCACCAAGTACATACTTGCAAACCCTAACTGGAGGTCTTCACCCTATACTTAAGCCTCTATAACGATTACTTTATGATCAATGCAGCAATTCGGAAAGAATTTAATAGCTATCATGGTCCGAAGATTTATATCCAACTATATATGAATTGAATTGTCCGTTAAGACCAACGAATCCTTCCCATTCTGAATGAGACCAGCCCTACAGTAGAATATTCCACCAAGGCCCACCAAAATTCAAATAGAGTACTGTGTACCGGCTATCCCGAAGAACTAGAAGACACCGTTAGATACTCACCCATTGGAAACCGTCTGAAACAAAGCTTGGGTGTGGTTATGGTTCTGCCTAAGCACGGCATTCCACCTGGTTAAGTAATGGATTGACTGCTGCGCCTTGCCAGATACTCAAAACGTCCTCGTATTTCCAGTCATCGGGCCTCCATTCAGTCCAATCACATCTCTCGATGGCCCGAGGATGCTGAACTGCAACCATTTTCAGCTTCGATGGATGTACTACCTCGCGACTAGGTAACATGATAATGGTAATCCAGAAAAACTGAGGCGGGCGAAGGGCCTATAAATCGCATACACGCACATCCTCGTCCTGCCAGACTTGTAAGACAAAACACATCCAAGTGAACATCCCAACCCTAAGATTACAAAAGCATGGATCAACCAGTTCAACTTCTCTCCTACCAACGCCTCAAATCAAAGAGTACCTTTATTATCTCCCTGCAACATGGGAACGGTACCGCAACTCCTATCTACGAAGTCGCATGTTTATCCTCGAACCCGAACCTCTCCATCTCCCGCCTCCAGCCTACATACCAGCAGCAGCAGCCACCACCACAATATGGCTATCCACCAGCACCACACCCATACTACCAGCAATATCAACCATACCCACCCCAGCAATACTCGATAAACAACCCACCACCACCCACCAAAACAACCATAGGAACTGTTGCCCTCTCTTCTATGTCGTCCAAAATCACCATCTCAATCCACAACATCTCCGAACTCAAAATGAAGCGTCCGGGCTTCCTCGCCTCTGGCCACCGATTCACGCACCCTCGCTACGGTACCCTCGAATGGAAAGAAAGCGATCTCTTCGAGAAACGCTTCAAGCTCGTCGACTCGAACAAGACCGTACTGGCCCGATTCGATAAGTGGAAACTACCGGAACAGCAGCAGCAATCGAAATCGTCAATCTGGGGTTCTTCCTCATCGTCGTCGTTGTCGAAGAAGAAGAAGGCGTGGGCATTCCAGATCTTTATAAATGCGGATCCGGAGCTGTTGGATTGGATTGTTGTCAGTGGGTTGGGGGTTGTTGAGTATCGGATCACTTCGGATAAGGAGTGGGAGGAGGAGCTCCTGGGAAATGATGATGTTTGGCCGGCATTGTTGGGATAAGTTTTGTCTCTTATATCTATCTTTTCTTATAGTAGTGCTTGCTTTTTTCTTTTTCTTTTTCTTTTTCTTTTTCTTTTTTATGAAAATGCTACTACATTTCGTATCCGGAATAATTTGTGCTGTAAATAGTGGGATGTAGTTAGGGTTAATGTGCGGCTTTGATCCTTCTTACATATCGAGTCGGAGATCCATAGCGATGGTTTTGTTACTCTGCTTCATGCATGAGTGACGCCTGGGATATGTAGGAATGTACAATATTCTTTGTCTATTTGATACGACTTATATAGCACGGGTTATGTATAGGGGCAATTTTACACACACTGGTAAGATAGAGCCAAGGTGCGTTCTCCAATGTTCAGCAACGTTTCACAGCGCTGCGCTGGCAAGGATGTTTGTCGCATATCAAAAGAACGAATTAGTCGATGGAACCCTGTATACAGTATGGAGTATGGCCATGGGGATCTATTTATCATTGGATGTAGCTCTGTTGGACTTGGACTACCCCGTTGTCTACTGATGTGACACTAGGGCAGTTAGCTCCCAGTGCCCTATCTCGACGCGGTAAGGAGAGCAGCAGATCCTAATCATAGGATAGATACTAATCCCTATCGTGAGTACCGGGTGACAGGGGTAGTAATTAGGAGAGAAGCACTTTGTTAATGGCCAGGAAGAATAAGGGAAAATAAGAAACACGAATCAGTTTACCTCAGTCAGCATCGGTAAGACCGGAAACTCTCCACTGACCTGAACGGCGCACTCCCGAAACCAATCTATTGCGATGGGTTCGTGGTGATACGAGCTTGGGCCTAGGCCGAGCCACTAAATGAACCCTTGTTGTCTTAGAACAGATTCCCTTGACCTTTGTAAAACACACTAACCCACTAGAACCAATGGACTTTAGCCCTGGAACGCCGACTCTCTTTGGTCGGTGGGACAGCTCGCCCCCTCTGGCAGATCTATTTATTACCACTCGTTTAGCCGCACAGGTTCATTCAAGTGAATGAACCCAGTTCATAGTCCGGTTCCGATCTGCTAGTAAATAAATAATAATCATGATTCCTCAAAGAACATAATTTATTCTCTCTCCCCCCCCCCTCCCCCAACTCCAAACCATGGTCCCCTCTCGATCACAAGGCCGGCGGCGAACGACGCTTCTAGCCCTAGGCTTGGTGACCATCTTCATCTGGCTCTTCTCCCACTATTGGTCACACTCAGAGGAACACAGTCCTCCTGTCAGCTCAGCCGTTCATGGCGAGTTTTGGCGCCAGTTCCAACCCCTATTAAAACAATGGAGACCAAACTGCGAACCCCCAGAACGACTCGGCAAGGCAGAATCAGTCGGCTTCGACCCCAAAGCCACCGAGCAGCCACCCAACCTAACATCAATGCCAGCAGAAGACGTTCTGAAAATGAAACACGCCCATAGCAAATTCGTGCACGCCATCGCCAAGGAACCCCCAGCACTGGCCTACCAACCAGGCACGCGGGGGATAGTCTCAACCGCGGGCGGCTCGTATCTGCCCGTGCTAGTAATCTCACTACGCATGCTGCGCCAGACGGGCTCCAATCTACCCATGGAGGTATTTCTAGCCGACTGGAGCGAGTACGATGGCTATATCTGCCAGGTAGTGCTACCGTCCCTGAACGCGAAATGCGTCCTGCTCTCCGAGATCCTGGATACGGTCCCGGACAGCAAAACCAAGATCGAGAAGTACCAGTACAAGCCGTTCGCCATGCTCTTCTCCTCCTTCGAGGAGATTCTCTTCCTCGATGCGGATGCGTTCCCTCTCCAGAAACCGGAGCTGGCTTTCACCAGCGAGCCCTTCAAATCCAAGGGTCTGATCACCTGGCCTGATTTCTGGGGCCCCACTGCCTCGCCTCTGTACTATACGATTTCGTCGCAGGAGAGACCCGCCCCGAATATCCGGCAATCGACGGAGTCGGGTGAGGTGTTCATCTCCAAGCGCACGCATCTCAGGACCCTGCTGCTCGTCGCCTACTACAACTACTGGGGTCCCGGGTATTACTACCCGCTCCTCTCGCAGGGCGCAGCAGGCGAAGGCGACAAGGAGACCTTCATCGCGGCGGCGACGGTGTTCAACGAGCCCTTTTACCAGGTCAGTGAGCCCATCCGCGCGCTGGGCCGTCATACGAACGATGGATTCGCCGGCTCGACCATGGTTCAGTATAGCCCGATGGAGGACTACGCCTTGACGAAGAAGGGCGAGTGGCGGATCAAGGGGTCCAGCGTTCCGGCACCGAAACCGTTTTTCGTGCATATTAATTTCCCCAAGTTCAATCCCGCGACGGTGTTCTCGGATAACGGGCCCGTGGTGAAGGAGGATGGCAGTTATACGCTGGCGTGGACGGCTCCGGAGGATGTGATTGAGTCGTTTGGACCGGATCTGCAGCGTCAGTTGTGGTCGGAGATTCGGTGGACGGCTTGTGCTCTTGAGGGCAATAGTATTAGTTGGAAGGGGGAGACGGGGATCTGTGAGAAGGTGGAGGATTATTGGGATACTGTCTTTCGTTGATTTTGGGGATTGTGAAGCTTTTTCATGAAGCGAAATTGTACAAAACAAACGATTATATCGGCCCTGATTGGGCATGCTTGTGCTGTGCACAAGTGAAGTAATTGCATCCGGCTTATGATGTGCCCTCTCTTGGGCTGAATGATGATTTCTATTCAATATGTACTTATATCCGTGAATATGTACAAGAAAATCAAGAGATTTGGACGACCACGTCATAGGAAAATATGCAATGTTCCATTAATTAATCCTATATTGATGCTTGGTATATATGCGATCTTAGGACAACCCAGCCTTCTAAACAAAATCGAAAATATAATTCGTGCATATGCAACCATGATCATTACTCGTTATCCATGAACGCCGTCTCATCGTAGTCAATGCAATTCTTCTAAACAACAATGATTGCAGTCTTCTCTCCAAACTCCTGGTTGTAGCCGCCCAATTATCACTTGGGTATATACGTCTTTTGGTCTTTTCGTTCTGAGCTATTTTCTTGTTTGTTGCTTGGTTCGCCTGGGAAAATGCTTCCTGGGCATCTGATATGTATGGGGCCTTCATTCTGTAAAGTCACCAATTTACCCCTAGCCCGTCAGATCCAGGCCGAGTAGGAGAGCTGCCACTCCGAGCACGCATACCATGCAGCTCTTGTGGCTGGAGATCGAGCTCATGGTGAACCAGGGGGCCTGACCGGTTTCCGTGATAGAGGCTGTAAGGTAAAGCGTGCTGCACCGTCTGAGCCCCGTATACTCCGTATCCACCAAGCCTTTGACGAGCTTCGCGAACGTCCACTCTATGGGCGCCAAAGGGCAAGGTTGGCGGTGGCTCAGGATCCCAAGCGATACCTGCCCCGAGACGTTCGTCCAACGGGGGGATCGGTCTCAGGTTTGTTTGAGCAGGTGGGGCACAGGTCATAACATCTGCTTGAAGGGCACTCACAATTCCTTGGGAATGAGCATCTCGTATCCAGCTTCCAGTATTGGATAGCGTTTGTTGCTGAGGCAAGATATGAGACATTCCGGGCGGTATGGCAGTATGCGCATTCGAGGGCATCGGAGAGAGCCGGGGCGGATAACGAACTGGCTCGGTAGCCCAAGACTGATGGGACTGTGCTGATCCACCACGAGACATCGGTTCAGGTGCCGGATCTGATGCATATCCAGTAGGTGCCTCCGCAGCCGCAGAAGATGGTGGAGATGCGCCGGGCATGATGGCAGACGGATGCGTTATTGGATTAAAGCTGGCGAGCGGCTGACTGACAGGTACTGATTGAGTTGTAGCGCTCACTCGACGAGAATAAGTGACCTCAATATTATTGTCGTACGGAAGAGGAGGCAGGTAGGTCAGAACCGAAGGGGTGCTTGCGGACATGTCCACAGGGGCCATTGCCCTTACCGCGGACAGGTGTCGAGAACGGTAGTGTGAATCATGCGGTGTCCTCAAGTCCAAGGCGTTTAATTGATGAGTGAGATACCCTTGGTCCGGCTCACTGTATGTTGATCGACTCATTGGTTCTGATTTGAAATCAGAAGGTAATGGTAACAGCGGCGCGTTACCTAATCGGCTGTGAAGGGAGCCACCGGAGGATTTGCTTTTCAATCTTAGGAGCTTGGGACGTGCCTGTCCACCGGGCGTCGATGATGACCGCTGCTTCGATGAGGCAACACCGTCCTGGGTGCGCCTAGCAGCCACTGTAGCATATGTTGGGACGTTTTCCTTATGTAACATAAGCCTGTCATTCACTGCTTTCCCGAACTTCTCGTGAGCTGAGGGTGGACTTGCGTTATGAACGGCAGTCAGTGCCTCGGATGCAGAAATGATGGAGCTGCTTCGACTTCCTTTCTCCAGGATACTACTCGATGCGCTTCTTCCTTCGACTGGGAATACCCTCAGGATAGGAGCTGCTGGCTTTATACCCCAAGCGCTGCGTGGGAACTTTGGTCTTTGCTTCGAACGCCTCTCCCTACTTGCTTGGAGCCTTGGAGACTTCTCTACTACCTGCCATTCTTGATCGTCTGTAGTATGTGCAGCACTAGAAGATCGTGAAGACTTTGGCCTCTCCGTTGCCTGACTAAGCTGTGACAGTGCCGGAGACGTTCGATGAACAGCTTGTAACCCTTCACCGTCGGTTTCGTACCCTTTCTCATCATCTCCCTTGGACCATCGGAAAATGTGAGGGAGAAACGGCTTCAAGTTGAAATGGGGTGGTGACATTGGCATCTCTTCCGGTGATTCAACCTTCGGCTCTACCACATCACTGAATTCCCATGTCAAGTTTCGCGACGGCCCTTCATCTGTCGCAGAATCGGGGACAGACGACGAAGAACTGCTCGACCTGTCGAAGACAGATCGCTGTTTGCGAGCGATTTCCTGTGACGAACTTGGCGAAATCCTCTCAATCTCATTACTGATACTCCTCATGATTTGCGCGAGGTCATCCCGAGCTTCACAAAGCGTCTTTGTCTCCTTTGAGGATTTCTTGGGAAAGTTCTCCAGCAACCTTGACGCATGCATTTCATACTCCCGATAATCTTTTACTAAGCCATAGTCATCAACGCGATCCATCCGCTTCTTTGCGTGCTCATAGGACATGCAGAAGACGCGGGTGGCAACCACCAGCCAGGAATCATAAAAGCCAGCGTCCGAATTGGTTGTATTGGCAGAAAAGGATTTTTTCCGTTCCTCGTCCATGATCTTCAGCTCATCTCGACAGAAGCCTTGTACAACGCTATGGATTTTGATCAGGTCAATAGAGCCGGAACTCTGATAGACAGAGAAGAATGCATCTTGGCTACTTTCTGTTTGCGATTCCGATAGGTCGGGGGCAACGGCCGCCATGTCTAGGATCTCGCCCTTTTCGGATCTTGGCGACAGCGCTTTTGCCTGGAGCGCATACGCATCTGTGGTTCTTTCTATGAGTCCGTATCGGATAAGGATCCCTAGTGTTGTGTCAATATCCCCTTGCTCACCAGGTCTACTACCGGTTAGGATTTCGACGTGCCACATCTCCAGTGCAGCCTTTCCCAAGTTAATCAAGCCAACCGGGACATGATGACCGAAAAATGACAAAAGGTTAATCAAGTTCAACGCTTCGAAGTGCCCCATTCGATACAGGTCATGCATAATGCTCAGAAATGGCTCTGCGAGTTTCTCGTCCGTCAAATGGGAGTTAACGTGATATTTGTCGATAGATTTAGATGTCGCACTAAGTCGGTGACTGATCGCATGGATGGCCAGAGGGAGACATTCGTAGTGATTTACCAGTTCCGTAGCTTTGCGGATTTGGCTCCGGGTTGGCTTTCTGATACCGAGGTCTTTGAAGAGAAGCTTGCATGCATCTTCAACCTGGAGGGGTTTAATCTGCAGGCAGTATGGCTCATATAAGCGTTGCTTTTTCCGCAACGTCTTGTCCACAGATGTGTAGATAATACTACAATTTTTGTTGAAAGGAAGGAATTGTCTGAAGTGGTTGAGGTCGTCGTGATGATCGAACGAGATCCCGTCAAATATTAGGAGCCATTCTTCACGCACTTGCAGCCAGTTTCGAACTGCCTCTACATGCTTCTGGGGTTGTTGCGAGTCCTGAGCTTCAGTCAGCATAGCCGCTTGAGCAATATCCCAAAAACATTTTGCGGTTGATTCGCGCGATTTCGCATCGACCCAGAAGATGCCACCGGGGTATTTTTCACGTTGGCTCCAGACATATTGGCGTGCGAGGTGGGACTTTCCTGAGCCAGGAACTCCACAGACAAGAACAGCCATGAGGCGCTCTGCTCTGTTCTTTGCCTTGTACAGCCTAGAATGGAGTATTTCAAGCTCTTTCTGCATTCCAAAAAAGGTTGCGTTTGGATGAAATCCTGGCGGCACCACAAAAAAATCCCTTTGAGGTACTGTAAGGGTTACGCTTCCAGCCATGTCGGATACAGGGGATTGTCTTCCGGTGTTCGGAGGCAGGCTGATCAGAGGAGGAACGGTGTTACCTAAGAACCAGAGAAGTCAGCATAATCTGACTGCAACTTCGTTGACTTGCCTTATACGATAGGATATTATAGTACAGGAACTTGTCAAACATAAAAGCATATCGCCTAGGGACGCAAGGAAAAAAAAAAAAAAAAAAAAAAAAAAAAAAAAAAAAAAAAAAAAAAAAAAAAAAAAAAAAAAAAAAGGAAGACAAATAAATGCATGGCATCAATGCAAAATCAGTGGAAACTCTTGAGGCGTTTTCTTTTCTTTTCCTTTCTTGCTTTTATTTTTTTTTTTCTTTGTCCATCACTTTCATCCAATTTCGTCACGCATGCAGAGATAATAGCGAATTCTAAAAGCGCTTACTAGCATATAGCATCTCCGGGGGTTCCTCGACCTCGTATTCCTTCATGGTAACAGAAGATGTAGCAGAAGTACTTTCAGGAAGAAATTGTGTCCTACCAATTTTGCGAAGATCCGGCTCACTCCCCTCCATTTGCGACGTACTGTCTGGCCTCTCTAGTTCCGGTTAGCTTTGTGACTACTAGAAAGCCGCGGCTACGCCGCGTCTATGCTTGGGTCTGAAGCGCTTACCATTCCTCAGAAGATCCTTGAGCTTGTTTTGTGTTGCCGCTCTCCGGGTCTGTTGCTCCTCAGCCCATCGGTCCAAGATAGTAGCCGGGGCATCGCGAGAGTATCGTAGGAGAGCTTCTGCAACTGCCTCATAACCAGGCGCGTTATCGTCCTCAAATTTACACATATGCCGATGATCTGCTTCAATCCCCATGCGCTCCACGCCTTCGGCATACGGCGCGGCTGAGCTTTCGTCCACTATTAACTCGCGAGTCCCCTTAACATCAGTTGAAAGTGTCTCATGAAAGAAGTAGATATGAAATCTGCTCATCATGTCGGCAAATAGACTGTTAATATTCTGCAATGTTTCATTGTTCGTTCTCAATGCTTTGACAAGCTGAGAAGACGATTCCATGTACTTCTTGGGAAGTACTGCGCTGCAGATGTTCTGCAGTAATAGGCCCCATTTCGCGATATCCGAGCCGTTGTGAGGCGTTCCGAGGAAGAGGATTCCATAAGTAGAGACATAGATCGACCGCAGATGCTGAATCTTCGCATCTGAAACGTTTTTACAGTAAATCAGGGCACGTTTGACCACCAAGCCACCTAGCGAGTGACAGACAAAGAGTATAGGGCGATCCGAACAGCTTCGAAGCTAGTAGATGTAGGGAGGATGTTAGCAACCAGTTTAGGTGGCAAAGCAGGCCAACTATGATAGAACATCAATACAATGCAATACTAAAGATGTATTCAATATATCATGTATGATAGACCCGTGCTTGCACAGTAAATGGAGAGGATATGGAAACTGAAGGAAAAGTGAAATGAAACAAGTCGAGTCACTCACATTGCGATTCGCCGCAAGGCCCGAGGCAAGTGTCTCTGCATGATGGTGAATGCGATCCCTCGAAGCGCCATCGGTGAACGAGGCAACATTCGCATTATATCCATATGTCAAGATCCGCACTCGGCTAGGCTCCAACACTTCCGGGAGAAGGTCAGCTGGCCAAAAGATGGGTGGATTCCCATGGGTGGCCCAGGTGTTATAGGGATGGCCGTTCAATCCATGGACAAAAACAATGTCGACCAGAGGTTTTTCCTTGGAGCAGTATACTTGAGTCAAGCCAATTTGCTTGACTCGGGCGGCAAGGTCTGACATATGAGATTGATGGCAGTCACACCCCCGCGAGGGTGTGTGTCGACACGTTACCTATCGTGGCGAAATGGTGGATATGGGGGTTGAGGGGGGGGGTTAACTAAACATGAATTGAATAATTGTGATATAAAAGACGCAGATCGACGTACTCGGACAGAGGGGATAAGGACAACGATTTGTAGTAGTGAGTGGATGAATGAAAAGTACAGGTCAGGGAGAAAGCCAAAGTATTTATACGAAAGAATCGAGAGGACCTCTTGTGATTGGAGGCGGGGTCGGAGTTCGTTCGTTCGTTAGTTACTACTAGTAAAGGTAGGCCCAAAGCAGATGACAACAAGTTCCTGGTGCCTGCGGGTGTGGCAGAGCTGTCAGTGGCCCTGATCGTTTAGTGCCCGTGAGTAATTTACTAATAGTAAGCACCTCTCGAGTAAGAAGAAAGTGTCCATGGTTTACGTTCTCGTGAGCATGGGGCGTTGCTCTTCTTCATCGGTATGACCACTCGAACGGGGTCATGGGGGAAGGTCCGTCCTTTTCTTCCCTCGATAGGACCGAGTAATCCCCTCATTACTGATCTTTCTGATTTATTTTTTATTTTCATTTTCATGACCCTTGGGTGATTACGAATAATCTGGTCTCTCGGGATCCACAGCCAACTCCTCCGAAAACAAATGAGGGTGATCACTAACATTCCTTAGCTCCATATGCTACTCATTAGGAGGAAGTAAGGTGTGTAGCCGCAGATCGTGGGGAAGATTACGGTCCTATCGGCATTTCCTGACCTTTTCCCCTCTGCCAAACAAGCCTGCGGGATGTACGGTAGGGTTAAAATTACACGGTCCGATTGTCCAATATTGATCGTACACGTAGCGCAGCAAAATTCTTACTTGGAGCCGTGAAGAAGTCAATCTCAATCCCGACATATTCGGGGCAGCCACCATATCAGCCTTGTATGTATTTATTCCTTATGAGCAGGGAATTCAATCTTTTGCCCCCATGGTGGCTGTGGTTTTCATCCGATCTCGATGCACGTCATTTTCTGGAGCCTCATCCTTCTTTCTATGACTACACTACCTACTCTTTTCTTTCTCCACCTTCCTTTCCTTTCCTTTTTCTGAATTACTCGTAACTTGTCGTGACTAACCCCCAACTCAAACGAGACGTATTGATGCATAAGCCCACGTACGAAGTACTACCCAGTGTAGTATGGGGCAAAAAGAAACAGACATACACGCATTGCCTGTCAACAAGGCTGTGCCCCATTGGTGAGGCGAAAATAAAAATGGAATGTAACATGACACAGGCAACACTATAGAGTTTCACCCTATCAGATACCGAGTCGATTTTTCTTTTGTTGCCTGATACGACAGGCGGTTTGATCTTCCACCATTTGATTGATTTAAATAAATACACCAAGAAAAGTTGTGGAGCTGCGGCCCGTTCGGCGTTCCAGGGGAATGGGATTTAATCGATTGGGGAACCCTTGGTTTAATTCCCTTGAAACATCCTGAACCAAGGTTGGCTCAGTGCATGTTGTTGTGCCATGGCACTTCTGCGGCGATGTTTAATTTCAAGGGCAGGATAGTTTTCTGGAAATTCTTCGTCACTTCTGATTATTCGAAATATCAGGCCTTTTCTATGTCGAGGCAAGCTGGATGTGTTTGGAATTTACCCATTCTTCTGCCAAACACCAGATACTACAGTGCATACATGATGAGGGACACCGGGGCCTATGACTCACATTGCGTTTCTTTATGTTTTGTCGACGATCCAGAAGGTTGATTGACTCACAAGCCGATTACGTCCACTCCTCGTTTAGGGCGAAGCGGATATGAATTCCGAATTCTTCCAACCCATCTATAGGTCTTGTTTCAGTATCTTCTGAAGGCATAGATCCATGGTTGAAACCTTTAGAGTAGGAGTCCATCCCGACGGGTGTGGCTCAAGTTAGCATGAGCATATTGGTAGGCAGGCATCAGTGTCATGCGAAGTCAAGTGGAGACGACAGGCAGGCACTGGTAGAAAGGATGGAACACAAGATCCTAACGCAGAGTTGCCCTATCGCCACTTACAGGCCACGGAATACTCCAAAGGTTGTCTCTATAAATCACCGATTTCAGATCTATGACGAGTACAAATATTTTCCAAATGCAACAAGACAGCTTCACTCGAGCTCAGGTAACGAGTAACATTGCTTTTTTTTTTTTTCACACATTTACCACATGGGCACTTGACACATTCATCGCCCCCGGAAAGCAGGCTTCCTCTTTTCTGCGAACGCCCGCAAAGCCTCAAAGCGATCTTCCGTCTCAACCACGCCATCATAAGCCTCATTCTCTGCCACCTCACCTTTCTGGAAGTCATTCACGGCCTGAAGTGCCTGCTTGATAGCGATGGGTCCACCTTCGCAGATATCCATGGCTAGTTTGATACTCTCCCGTAGCACTTTCTCACGCGCAGCGCCCTCCTTTTGCTCCTCCTCAGGTAATATCTCAACGAGCCGATCGCAGAGCCCCATAAAGTATGATTCGGGGCCCGACACACGTCGCCCCGTTAGGATGAGGTCTCGGGCGCGGTTCACCCCAACAATCCCCGGTAGGCGGTATGTGCCTCCCGCCCCAGGGATAATAGCTAGTCTGGTCTCGGGCAATCCAACAATGCTGGAGGAGCCAAAGACACGTAGATGCGTAGATAGGGCGAGTTCTAGCCCACCTCCCAGCGCCATAGAAGACACAGCAGAAATTGTGGGTACGGGTAGCCCAGCAAGATCACGGAACGTACCACGCAGCTTGGACAAGAATTCATTTGTTCTAAACAATTGTGAAATAATATTAGTCGGGAAGAAAAGGGAGAGGCTGGGGTGTTGAGGATGAGAACTCACTCTTGCTTGGTCATATTTACTCGCTCTTTCAAATCTGCACCCGCACAAAAGGCCGAATCGACATTACTAGCAATGACCAAGGCCCGTGTAGGACCGGTGCCTCCCTCCGCGGATATGGACTGGACATGCTTAGCCAGGCCGTCCAAAAGATTCTTGGAAATTGCGTTTCTGGCTTTCGGTCGGTTCAGCAGCAGGACTCGAATGTTTCCGGAGCCGGGCGCGGGGATCTGCTGGGACTGTATCACTGCATCATCCGCACTGGTGCTATATCTTGTGACCCTGACGCGAACCGACAAGACCGAGGGCTGTCGCAATGTATGTGAAAGACGCAGGCGTGGTGGCATCTTCGAGTTGTAAAATTAATTCTATCCAGGCGATCAAAAGAAAGTCTGGCCTCTTGTAAAAGGACTGAATAACTGGCGAGATATCCCAAGAGGAATGATTTTGAAAAAGCGAGACGGAATGCATTGAAGAAGCTCGGAAGTGTGGGGAAGCTGCTGAACAGCTCCAGCAACTGCGGGGAAACCATCCACCGAGAGGCCCCAATTCTTACCGCGGATAAGCGCTACCATCGAGTCTCTTCTGCAGAGTCAGCTATGAAGGGGTATCATCCGATGATATTGAAACGCCACACAATCTATAATACGTATATATACAGCTAATGTACAAAAATGTTGGATGCTCCATCATTGCGCCTCATGCTCCTCCCAGTGAACAGCGTAATATTCCTGAACTTCCTCGTCGCTAGGCCAAGGGCCCCAGGTGTGCGTTGTCGTGACTAAGTCATATGCCTCTTGCAAGTTCGGATCCGAGAATGACAATCCCTCCGAATCATTGGGGGACACCTCACTTGTACGCTCAAATCCCCTTAAATCACGCCCTTGTGCAGCTGAAGCTGTCCAGTGGAGTGATCCCCAAGACTGCCTTTCCCGACATCCCTCGAGAAATAAGCGCATTGCCACTAATGTGCGTCGCATCATGATGCCACCGTTCAAGTACTCCTCGGACGCTTCTTTAAGGGGCGTCGCATACTGAGACATCCATCGGAGAAGGCTGAGGAGGCCATCGTAATCTTCAGCTAATCCCAATGATCTGACAAATGCGTGAAGGACGACAGGGGAAGGCACATGAAGTAATGGCGGCAAACTTACTTGGGCGTCAGTCACATTCTGAGAAGATAATCTGCCAGACGCAAACAAGGATGGAGTTCCGAAGTCTGGAAGAACAAGTCGGTCAAATTGGTCTTTGAGGCTCCGCAGACCATGCTGAACCATATCCTCGAATCGCGGGCAGGCAAGACCTATGTATGCCAGCTTTCCCTGATTTGCAGCATTACCAACAACCTCCAAGGCTTCTTCCACAGCATCTAGACTCTTGATCCCAGCATTTACCGCTCTTGAAAAACCGCTGCATAGAACCTGGAAGCCCTGCAGGCCGAGTTGGATATCGTGATGCTCCATCCGTCCTGCAATTTCTAACATTTCGTGCCAAGCTACAACACGCTGGATGTTTCCATTCATCTTGCTAAAACGACCAGTGACGCGGTCTTTGTTCAAAGCCGATAACACAGAAACCCAAGCTTGAGGGGACCGGGAATGCCGTACTCTAAGCAGTTCGATTGCGTGTGCTAAAGTCCTCGGGTGCCGATGTTCATTTCCATTCCCTAGATACTCATCCTGGGAAAAAAGGGTCGATGTCTCCCCGTTGGCCATCTGCGAACTGCCCAAGATGATCGGAAATGCATCTCTCGCATGTCTGGCTGACATTTCACCGAAGGTCGAGAATTTACACAAGAAGTATACGAATGCTGAGAAAAGATGTGCGGGGAGTTCGTTTACAACTTTCTGACTTTGTTCGTCGTAGATGGACTTATGTGCCCAGACGGTGCACAAAGCTCTGATCTGCTCATTAGACAAATCACTGCAGCTTAGGTAATCCAGACCAGATCTGAAGGTTGGCGCGTATCGTAGCAGGAGGGAAAGGAATCTTGCCTGCGGTCGGATCCCCTCGGAGAGCATTTGTGCAAGGAGCTCGTCTAACGTGGGTGGCTCTGTATGCACATAAATTAAATCCCGCGCAGACAAAGGCTCTGGGAAGGTTTCCAGAGCATCACCTGGCAAAGCATGGCTCATTTGATCGAAATTGGTGTGTAATGCGTTTCGTCGGTAAATCAATTTCTCAGCCATTGCAGTGTAGATGCTCCCCCGTGGAGGTAGGCCTTGATCTCGATACGACAGAAAACAGGCCCAAGCTTCTCGCACAGTCCTTGTAGCCCGGATACGAGCTTCCCAGATTGTATGGTGGTCCGCATTTCCTATACGTCCACGCAGACGCCATGGCTGGCGCGCTAGGGTCCTTGTTTGAATAGTAGGACTTTTGTCTGTGTCCCATCCGGCGAGGATACTGGACACTTCCTCCCAGCGACTATGAGCATAACCTGCTTCTTTCATCTGAGACATTACTCGCATGGCACGGCTTCTCAATCCTTCGATTCCTCTCTGAGAGTCAAGACCTAGCTTTTCTTCTTTCCATGGCGGCCACGATGGAGCCTTTAACTCTGCGGATTGCCGCTCAGCTAGCGTTTTCTTATGGGCTAGCTGTACCGCGGTGATACCTTGGTACCCTCGACGCGTGACGGGCAAAACAGGCTGGTTTCTGGCCATTGCTCTAAGAAGCTCGAACTGTGCTTGCTGCTGTATTGAAGCCGAAGTGAAAGGTCCCTGTCTGCAGGGCAACGAGAGTAACCGAAGGAATGTGTTGCATTTCCCAGCCAGCACCTGGACATTTCGCGGTGTCGCTGATGCCATAGTACCAGCCCCCTCTGGTTCCAGGAGAGTAAGGTAAAACGCGAACGTACGCACAATAGGAAGCTGTGCTTGCGGCCACAGTTGACGAGCATGATGAAGCAAACGAACGACGAATGTGGCACAGGTATTAGGATCTATCAAGGGCTTTGCGTCGTCGGATTGGTGAAGCTCATCGAAAAAATTGTCATCTTTCGCAGAACCCAATGCAGTACCTAGTTTTGAATGTGGTTGACCGCTGATAAGGCGCAGCGAATAAATGAGGAGTAAACGGAAGGACTTAATATCAAGGTCCTGCCGCAACAAAAGAAGAGGTATGAAAGGCGGAATAATTCGAGCAGCAGAGCCTCCCTTTTCCTTTGGATCTGACTGCAGTTCTAACGCGCAAATCCGGAGGATAGACTCGTAAGGGGTGCGGCTCTTGAGGATCCATGTCCATGAAACCACATCTTTCACTGAATACTGCCGCGCACTTAAATATTTACGGTATTCTTTGTTAAGAAAAACCTTTCGCAGAGCAACATCCAGTTCTAAAGACTTTCCTTTGACTCCCTCTTCACCCGTCCGGTCTAGCAAACGATCCACATGGTAAATGTAGTCTGCAGCAATCTCTTGGAGCGAGACTCTATGCTCAATTTTGAATCTGATCCTTTGTCTCCTGTCTAAAGGAGACATAAGGCGGTCGTTGGGATTTCTCGAAGTAAACGTCCAGTTTTGACGCGTTGTACTGTCAGGAGGATGCACAACATTTTGCAATGTATCAATTAAATACTCGGTTGGTGTCGGATTGAAGGAAACAGCAAGCTTTTTTGACTTCCTTCGGGGGTTATGCAATTCATTCTGTGGTTTTTCACGTGGCCGTTTGCCATGCGCATCCCGGCTCATCAATGTATTCGTAGTAGATGGTAATGGTGTTGATTTAGAGGCCTCCTGTGTGAAATATTTGGGTTTTGACGGGGTCTGTTCGGGGGGTGATGATTTGGAGCTCTGTTCTCTCTGTTGCTGTTCACGGTCTGGGCCAGGGGGCACATAGGATTGATTAAACTGAGACTGAAGCCGCAAACCACACCAGAACTCACAAGATGCGTGTTGATCATCATGTCCGACCCGATGTATTTGGTCACGCGTGGATTCGTATCGAGGAGAAATCAAGGTCCCCACTGAGCTTAGAGACCGTGACAGCGTTCGAGGACCGAGTAACACATTAACAGACGAACTGGAAAGCGCCGTCAGGTACCCCGGATATGTGAGGCTATTATAATACAGCTCCTTAAAGTTGAAGAAGAGAAACATGTTAATACAGCACTAAAGAATATTTTGTCCGGGGTTGTTTAATCGGTACCTTCGGCCATACACGGCTACTGAGCAAGTGCGCCGCTCTCAGAGAGGAAACCCTCGAGCGGCTCGGTACATGATTGAAGACCGATGACATCCATAGAGATGATCATGGAGTAACTTCGACGAACTCTAATACCGGTGGACGAGAGTCGAGGGTGCGTCTTCGCTCAAGTGCAACTTAGCAGATCAACCTAGAGAAGCAGCCAGTCGGCCTGGTCCATGGGAAAAAAGTATACGTCACGTGATTGATCGTCACGAGTTGCGCTTTTGGCATGGCGCGCATGAGGAACATCTCCCTCTTTGCCTGTCTTCCCGCCTTGCTATTGTTACGGGTGCCGACATTATTCCTCCTGGGTTTTTATTTTTTTTGCCCTCTTCGGCTGAATTGATTCTGGGCGTGGTAAGAAACACGTTCATTGCAATTCATCCCTGTGGAGTTGGATATACGTGATTTTATCTTGAAGGTTGCGCACCCTCCTCTGCTGGGTCTCGTAACTATTGGCGCATCCGCTTCGGGGATCAACGAACACTCGACCATCGGCCTCTCTGTTTAAGGTCGTAATCGTGGGTTTTTTCTGGTTTACCACGTCAATTTATATTCACGAAGGTGGGACCAAGTCCGCGCGCTTGTAGTTCCAGGTGCGATACGCTGTACATTAGGAAAGACCCTTTACTCTCGCGTCAAAGGATTACTGCAATAACGGCGCGACTCCGGAGCCATGAGCGCAGACGAAGGCGGAGGCACAGCTTCCATTCCGACCACAAATGGCGATCTCCATGCTACCACCCCCGATCCGCCTTCGTTGGCGACACCTGCCAAGCGAAAGCGTGTGTCAAGTCATGATGACAAAGTCGCTCAAGACGCTGGCTCGTCTGCGTCGCAAGTTCAGGAAAAGATCAAGCTACAGGAAACTCTGCGTAACCTCGTTGAAATATTGAGCAAGTAGGTTCTACTTACTTCTTTCTCCATATATCTGTTCGCGTTCGCACTCAGATGCTGACCCTCCAAAAAAAGAAACGACACGGATCTTCAACTCCTATCCTGTCCATTGCCGTCATCCCCAGCGAAGCCTCGTTCGAAGCGCGCGAAAATCTCGGGCGAAAAAGACGAAGCCTTCACTATACAATCCCGAGTCGCTTCGAATCGTTATAACACTCTGTCGGAATTCTTGAGTGATATCGAGAAAGCATCGGCTGCTGTGATTGAGAGGAATAAAGCCCAGGCGAGCGGGCTCCAGGCTGATGGGTCGCCTGTGACCGAAACAGTCAATCGTATCGCGGCATTTAAAAAACTTTTGAACAGTCTCGTTCGCCAGGCACACACGAGCCAGTCGAACATCAAGGCGGAGACATCCGAGGAGGATGCAGAGACACCGGCGAAATCCAACACCTCCAATGTAGAGACCCGGAACGAGAATCTCGTCTTGACGCTGTTTGGGAACCCAGCTAATCCCAAACAACTATATTCGAGTTTACAGAAATCCGTCAAGGTTCCACTGCCTTCGGACGACCCGAAGGCAGAGAAATATGTGGAGGTGCAAGCGCCACTACGTGAAGTCGGCTTACCAAACGGTATCACGACCACGAAAATTGAACCGTACAATCTTGACGAAAAGCCAGCAGAACCAAAAAGGACTTTTGGGGAAGTTTTTGCGCCTCGGTCAACCTTGCCTCAATTGGAAACGCCACGCAAAACAAAGTCTACCTCTCGAAGTGCTCTTAATGGCTGGATCGACCCATTTGAGGCCATCACTGACTTCAAAGCTTTCCGAGGAGATCGGAATAATTACTGCCTTGCACTCCTGCCCTCTGGTCAGTGGCTCCAGTATGGCGGGGTCACATCGTCCCCGTCTTATTGGAACCGCCGTGATAAACATCAGTCTCAACAGCAAAGTGACGAGAAGTATACCGATGATCCTTCACTGTGGGTTGACGAGGACTCGTCCGTCTTGCAGGGTGTTTACTCATCATTCGCTCCTTCATTCGACAGTTCGGGTGCCGTTGTCCAGGCGAACTCGAAGGATTTGGTATGGTGGAGCAAACGAGGTGCAAGACGCTTAGAGACTTTACTTTCAATACCATATCAAGAAGTCGCCGAAGAGACGACGTCAGAACGGCCAGGCAATATTGGTGAACTAGACGAAAGTACCCTGGAGGAGATGGTAAAGAACTTCAAGCCCGAAGACTTCGCTGATAATGTTACATGTTCCGAGACCTCTAAAGCAGATAAAGAGGAAGAGGCAGAGTCGCGGGATGTAGATGAGCTATTACATGATATCTCTGATCTACTGGAGACTTTGAGCTCGTACCAAAAAATCCGCAATCTGGACGTCTCAGCCCCGAACACTCAGGGTACCGAGCCTAGAGAAACAGGGTCCGACTCAGGGAGTCCAGACACCCCTTCTACAGAAGAGTTGGGTGTATATGAAACACTGAGGTCAAGTCTGGCGGCTCTCATTTCCAATTTACCTCCATATGCAGTTGCAAAGTTAAACGGCGATCAGCTGGACGAGTTAAATATAAGCCAGAAAATTGTCATCGAGAACCCGGACTATCGGGGAACCATGGAGAAGGACGACTTTACAGCTCATCAGGAGCGAAGCGCGGCCATGGCCCCAATGAGTGGTGCTGCGAATCGGACTTCGACGCCATCGCGATACAATTCGCGGGCATACAGTTCTGGCTCTCGGGTCCAATCGCAAGGTGGCTTTCCTCAACAGCCATACTATAGTGGAAGGCAGCCCTCAACTTCCGGACCATACACTCCAGGCCATCCACAACAATACGCCGGACCACGGCCACCAACAACACCTTCACAACGACCCGGATATGTTCCGGGATATTCTCAGCCCACTCCTCAGTTCAATCAGCAATTCCAGCGACCAGGACAAAATGGGTATGCTTCATATTCGGCTCAGCAAGGGCCGGCTGCCCAAGCTTCACCACAGCCCTACACGCCGCGCCCCGCACAACCCGGGGCATACAATGCTTCCTACGCAGCTGGGCGCAGTGCTTCTCCTCAGAAGCAAGCGTCATATGCAGCTCCACGAACGCCATACATGACGTCGGGCTCTAATAACCCTCAGCAGCGGTTCATACCGCAGCAGCAGCAATCACAACAGCAACCGCAACCGCAACCGCAACAACAACAACAACAACAACAACAACAACAACAACAACAACAACAACCTCCGCCATACGGCAACTATCCTTCCAACCAAGCTCCTCCACAATCAGCAGCATATTCCAACTCAGCAGCTGCCATGACTTATGCTCGAAGCGCCGCTGAACAAGCCGCACTGATGGAGAGGAACAGAACTCAACTTGCTGCTCACGCGAGACAGAGCTCAACACCACAACCACCAACCGAAGGCAGCTCTCAGGATCGAAGCGTAACACCCGGTAACAAACAGAACGGCAATCCGGTCCCTTCATGAGTCAAGCGAGTATCATCGACGTTTTGGAGTTGTCTTTCCCTGTTTATGTTCACCCTTGTCTTCAAAGAAGGAAGGCTCGGTTAATGGTGTTACACTTTTATGATTTGTATTTGACCTTTTGTGACTTTGCCCCTCCTGTCGTTTTCTTCTTTCCGTTCCCTAATTCATTATATTCTCTTAATTTCTCAAAGCTACGGGTCATTAGATTTGAGAATGAGAAAGGGAGAGCGGTTTTGGCTCCTCTTCTAAAGTTACATCTATAACAATATTGCGACGAGTATTGGCTGGTGTGTGTAGGCGTGTTGATTCCCTGCTGCTATGATTTCCCTTTGAAGAACCCTGTTGCCATCTCCTTATGAGGTGGAGATCAGCGAATGGCGCGGATTGATTCCAAGATTGGTCTGGTTTCTCGTGGGCGGAGTGTCTCTATTACTTTCGTGGCTACACGCTTTTCGCTTAGAAATGCTATGTATTAGTTTATCTGCAAGTTCTACTTCAAGTATTACTTATTCGGGGTTATAACCAGATATTCAAGAAAGCCGAGAGGACCCTAGTAAACCCTAGATTGTCTGCCATCGGAACCACCTGCAGTATCCTAAACACCACCTTTTGACCAGTCCCCGTTCCATAAATATTAGCTTAATCAACATGAGTAATAGAAGGCATAAATTCATCATTGCTAATGAAATTCGTAAGTCATCATACAACCACTTTCTATGTTTTCGTGATCGCCCCACTCAAGGTATAAACATTGCGGCTATAGTCATAAATCCGAAATATCTGTAAATAAACAGTTAGGCTTCTAGTCCGTGATGGGTGAATTCGAGGATAGGAACATACAATGTAGCAATTCTCCACCCATCGTGAGAAGCAACGAGTTTCTCAGCACCGGCTGCAGAATTGGACGCAATCGCAGACGCAGCGCCGCCCACCATCGCGACGACGAGAAGACGTCCTGAAAATTCCGCGATCATGCTAAAGGCGAGCAGTGGAAGGAGGATAGCAGCTGAAGCGATGATGATCGCCGAGAAGGCAGAGGTGGCGTTGGATGTCGATCGCATGGTGAGAGAGATGAGGTCTTTGTTGTGCTCTAGGAAACGGGTCTCGGCGACTGCGACAGGGGCGTTATCTTTCATCCAGGTGCGATACGTGTCGATATCTTTATCCGACGCGCTGGGGAGCGTCTGGGTGACTTTGCTATATGCACTAAGGGCGTTATCTTGCTTGGTTAGATTTGGAACGATGTCTGTACTTCGTCTCAGGATACTCACTGTATTGCTGGGTCTTTTGTACTAATGCTGCCATCAGCTCTTCCCGTCGGTAATGCAGGGATGAATAGACCTGCGCTTGGGCATCCATGCGTCTTGAAGCGGGTACAATGTTTGTCCCTTCTTGTTCTGCGGTTGCTACACGATGCATTTCTTCGTATTCATCTAATATATGCAGTTCCTCTTCCATCTGTGCGATTTCATCCTGGAGATGAAGGAGCACCCGGTGGTTTAGGTCTTCAAATCGTCG